TGACTCATGGGAAAATCCTAGGCAGACAGCATTAACAAGCTATAAGTTGCCAAGGTCCTTAGGGGCAGGCACATGAGAGCAGCACTAGACGCAGTAGCTTGAAATTTCTTTCCGTTTTCACCTGTTTTTCTTTTCTTTAAATCACTGATGTTTCTCTACCAAAACCAATATTCTTACCTGCGGTCTCTATATAATACCTTTCAGCTTCCTCTGACCAGGGGTCTTCAGATACGTCCTCCTCTCCCTAAGCATCCTCAGGTTCTTCTTAATTGGCACCTAGTGCTCCATGATTGGGATGCTAATCATGAGGGAGTTATTTATATCCTACTGCTCAAGGTCATTGCCAAAGTCCATCACAAAAATTCAAAAAGTTGCAACCTCAGGCACAAATGGGTTAACTCTTCAAATGCACTAGCACCCTCTCTCTTTCAAAGCAGTCTTCTGTCAGGATTCTTCCTAGTTCATTTAAATAATATTTTTCTCTCTCACTGACTTCTTCCACTGCATGTGAATCTTGCCTCCCGCTTACTCACAAACGTCTTGTATCTGTTGGTCCCCAGCTTTTCTTCCCAAGATGACTAGCAATTGTCCGATCATGAAAGCCAGTCTTTCTCTGTCTCCTGCCTTTACTGTGTGTGAGCCTGTAGCTCTGTGAACTTCATTACACTCTTCTGAGTCTATAGAACTCATGGAGTTTAGGTTTATTTTGCTATTTTTGCTCTTGGTCTCTGCTTTGTGGGTTCATGAAGCTTCCGTTCAGATTTCTGACTTTTCACATTCTTCATTTTTTTCCTTAGAGAGCTCATTCATTCCCAGGGCAACACCAAGGTGACTCCTAAATCTACATCTGTACAATTTTCCCGAGTTTTGGAGATACTCTTGGCTAGAGAGCTTTATCTAGAAGTAACTGTCATCATCTCAATGATCATACATGTGAAACTACCATTTGTTTGTATGCTATCTTAGTCTGCTTGGGCTCCCATAACAAACTATCATAAACTAGGTAGCTTATACATAACAGAAATCTATTGCTCACAGTTCTGGAGGTTGGGAAGTCCAAGATCAGAGTGTCGGCACATTTGCTGTCTGGTGAGGGCGCACTCTCAATTTTGTAGATCATGTCTTCTAGCTATATCGTCCTATGGTATAAGGAGAAAGGCAGTTTTCCGGAGCCTCTTTTCTAAGGGCACTAGTACCATTCACAGTGCTCTCCCCTCATGATCTAATCACCTCCCAAAGGCCTCACCCTCTAAGACCATCTCATATAGTTTGGATCTGTGTCCCTGCCCAAATCTCAGGTTGAATGGGAAGAGGGGTCTGTTGGGCGTGGATCATGGGGGTGGACTTCCCCTTTGCTGTTCTCACTATAGTGCATTGGTTCTCACGAGATCTGATGGTTTAAAAGTGTGTGGCACTTCCTTCTGTGCTCTCTCTCTCTCTGTCTCTCCTGCTCCTCCATGGTAAGGCATGCTTGTTTCCCTGAGCCCTCTGCTATAATTATAAGTTTCCTGAGGGCTCCCATCCTTGCTTCCTGTGAAACCTGCAGAACTGCCAATTAAATCTCTTTCCTTCATAAATTACCCAGCCTCAGGTAGTTCTTTATAGCAGTGTGAGAATGCACTAACACACAATCACATTGGTGGTTAGATTTCAACATACGCAGTTTTCAGGGAGTCACAGACATTCAGATCATAGCATATCCATTATCCCAATTTGCTCATCTTTCCCCCGATTCGCTTGCCCTTTATATGAGACCAGGTTTATTTTAGTTCTGCTGCTATCCAGTTGTGTAACTTTAGGCAAACTTTTCAACCATCTGGGTCTGTTTTCACACTTATAAAATGTAAATGATTTTGGAATCCGAGTCTATAAATAAACCTTGACCCTAATACACACTAGTTCGTTGACCTGAACAAATCATGCATTTTTCTCTAAGCCTCAAGGCCTTCATTTACAAATGAAAACAACGATACTTAACTCATTTGGTTGACCTGAGGATTACGTGAGGAAAATATTCACATAAAGTGCGTAGCAGTGTTTGTGCGTCATACTTAACACAGTAGCTCTTATTCTTCCTGCTCCTGGGCTTGATATCTTCGAACCCTTCTTGATTTCTTCTTTCCCATGTCTAGGTAATGGCCAAATCTTGCCAGTCATTCCTTGGTAGTGTCTTGATAGTAACTTTCCCACTTACTGCAAGGCACCACGCGGGATGCTCTACGCAGGTTGGTGTCATCTTTGCCGTCACCTATATTGTAGGTATTGGAATTTCTGCTGGGGAAGCAGCTTCAGAGGTCACATGGCTAACAAATAGCCAGCAGGAGTTCAAACTAAGTCTGGTTACCTTTAAAGCCAGCTCTGTTTCCACTCCTGGACTTTCTCATTTTTTTTAATCTTTTAGTTCCCACTGCTGTCAGTCAAATCAGTCTGTTCCAGACTTGTGCCTGTTGGCCTCTCGGCCTCCTCTCTCCCAGCTCTATTTTATCCCGTCCGTGACCACCCGATTAACCTCCATTAAACACCAGTCTCTACTTTATTCGTGGGAGATATTTGGCAACACTCCATTACCCCTTGAAGGCATCTGGCATTTAAGGCCTCTCTGTCAAGCTTGATTTTCTTATCTTTTAGCCAAAAAGCTGTTTTTATATTCCTTCAGCGTGTAATCTATGTTTTTGTGATTTTTTTTTAAAAATATGTTTTTCTACATGAAAAAGTGCAGCCCAGATTATCTGATTAGTGATATAAAAACTCTATTGACTGGATAAGCCTGTCATTGTTACTATTGTTACTATTTTGACACACACAACTTATTTAGCTAGATCTTGGTACAGATCCACGAAATGACACACATTAAGTGCATTTCATTAGCGCTCTTTTGGAAGGCCTGTTTCCACACTTGGTATCTCCTCTCAGTATCCTGGAGTTTAGCAGTTACCTGACTCTTATATCTGTCCTCTTGGCATCCCTATTGTTTTCTGACACATTGAAATCTATTATGGAAATCTACATGGTAGGTATAGAGCTCAAAGATATCCATTGCAATGTTATTGATAGAAGTAGAAAGCTGAAAGTGATAAATGTCATTTTTAAGAAAATAGGTGAGCCTATTATGAATATTATGAATCAATTAAAATAATCTTTGCAAGGAATTTTGAGCACATGGAAATGGCTTTTGATGTATGAAACAAAAGAATCAGGATAAGTAAGCAATAATAGCAAACAACCAAAAGCAGGATATAGATTACCTGTTTGTTAAGACCTCAAATATAATCAGGTATAGGAGGAAAACCCTCTTGATTTCAGTATTGTTAGTATGTTTTTCTTTGCTTTGTTATGATTTCCTGTACTTTGCAAGTCTTTTGCTATGAAGGCATAACTTTTTTTTTAAATCATACAACATAATGTCATGAATTATAACAAGTAAGGACACGGGGATAATTCTCTTTGTTTTGGGGTCCCCAAGGTTACTCCTAGATTCACCAATTTATTAGGAGGATACACAGGACTCAGCATCAGTCCTACTGATGACCATGATCTATTACAGCAAAAAGACACATTAGGTAAAATGATTTATCCAGCAAAATCCAGAGAAAACCAAGAGCAAGCTCTCAAGAGTTCTCTCTCAGTGGAGTTTCACACTTGTTTAATTCCTCTGGCAACAGGCTGTGACAGCACATATGAGATCTCATCTACTAGGAAAGCTTATTAGAGATTCAGTGCCCAGGGTTTTCACTGGGGGTTGATCATACGTGTAGCTTCTGCCTAGCATGCACCAAAAATCCAGACTCCCAGAAGGAAAGGAGATGTTAGCCACATTGTACAAATAGTTGAGGCACGGTGAGCCCCTCTCATCAGGGAATGGTGGGAACCCTCCTAAAATCCAGGTTCTAGGATGCCAGCCAGGACGAATTTCAAGGCCTTTCTTATGCTAGCAATCTCAGGCTTACTATATTAACTGTTTTCTGCACATTCCTTGCCCCTAATGCCTCACATTTCCAGATGTCCTCACAGAATGAATAGCAGGAATACCAGGAATCTTCCTCCTTTCTACCTGCCCTTCCATCACAAGCACTAAATTTATTCCACTATGGACTTAAAGTCTGTGGCAATATGAGCACCTGGTTCTTCCTGCCCACGCCTTTCTCAGGGCCAGAGAGATGGTCTCCTGTGTGGGCCAGCTGGTGAGGCTGGCATAGAGCCAGGAGAGCATAATTAGCACACTAGTGGCAGCTTCTGGTTCCTAGCTCCTCACTTTGTGTGATTTTCCTTTAGTTCCAACTACTTAAAAATCAATTAGAGAGCAGTCATTAGAACACCAGCAGCAACACATAACTAATTGTCCCAGGAAGGTAATTCCCGCACACCTGGGGCTCTCAGCAAGTTTAACTTCCCTTCTGCAAGCAGAGCGTGTCAACATACCTGTCCAGTGAGACATAGTCTAGAGCAGTGACTTCATGCCTGTCTTCTGTCTTCCTGGGGAGACTTCAAGACATGGGCTTGCACGCTCCTTTTCTAGTCCCACCTCTGTTGTTTGGGTTAATGACACTACTTTTTCATGGCGGTCTTTGCCAGCACAGAATTGGGAGGTGAGTTGATGCAGCTGTTTGCTCCCACTTCCTGTCCTCCGTCAATTGTGTTCATTTCCCCCGCCATCCCCCAGTACCTGGCTTGACACCTGTGTACCTAGCTAAGCTGCAGATTCAGTTAAATAAGGAAGTTCGTATTCTTCCTCCTCCCTCTGGCCCTTTCCCCAGTCTGTATTCAGTGGAATCTGAGGCCCTTTTGCCATAAAACAAGCTTTTTCTCATGATGGAGGCAGACTCCTGTATTTTACTCAGTTTCACTGAGTGGAGAAAGCATTTCTGCTTACACTTGCCTGCTGTGTTCAGCCTTGATGCTCATAGTTATGTCTAAGTATGGTAGTCAGTGGAATGAAAAAGATTATTATTTTATGCAGGTATTTATTTTTGTTTTTCATTTCCACCTCCCCTGCTCTTTAGTAAGTTATGTTGATGAAGATGAAAATGAAATACTTGAATTATCATCAAATAAAACCTTCTTGGTCACGCTGAAGATTCCAGAGGAGTGTGTTGCTGAAGAGGATTTGTCTCACCTGCTCACCAAAAGGGTAATTCCATCTTACATATTGCTTAAGGAGTTCTTGATGTTAGAATATGAGTTTCACTAGAATAATTGGCATGTAGCTTTAGAGTAAGTAGCTTCAATTTTGGATTATTTGTCTGTATTTTAGCAGGAAATGATGCTTATAAATATATTTTCAGACCAAATACCGTGTATTCTCACTTACAAGTGGGAGCTGAATCATGAGAACAGCACACACTGGGGCCCACTTAAGGGTGGAGGGTGGGGGAGGGAGGGTGGGAGGAAGGAGAGGTTCAGAAAAAAAATAACTATTGGATACTACTAGGCGTAGTACCTGGGTGACAAAGTAATCTGTACAGCAAACTGCTGTGACACGAGTTTACCTGTATGACAAACTTGCACGTTTCCTCCTGAACATGAAAGTTTGTTAAAAAGAAATAAGTAAATATCTTTACTGTAGTGCAAAGCCAGAGGGAAGAGTCCTGGCCTCCAGCTGCATAAATGCTGGAGGACGCTGTTCTTTTTACTCCCTCAGGTCCTATATTTGATCCAACCTGTAGTATTCATCGAGGGTCTGCGATGTGCTAGACAGCATGCCAAGTGCCAGGCCACATTGTGCCCTCAGTGGGCTCACAGTCCAAGTACAGGAGGTGACTAAAAAGATAGTTTATAACAGCGCGATGTGTTCTAGCGTGGTTTACAATGGCAAAGGAGAGGTGCCTGAGCCACCTGAGGTGAAGGTGAAGGCGTGGAAGCCTTTAAGTGAAGTGGTGCTCAGGATGAGTTTTGAAACGAGGCGGGAATGATCTAAATAAAAAGCATGGGACATTAAAGGATGTGCAAAGTAGAATGCTGTGGCCTTCCGTGCTGTGTGGTGGCAGCTTGCAGAGACGAGGCTGAAAAGGAAGGCAGGGGTCAGGTCATGAAGGCTTTCCCACTCTTCGGTAAGCCACCAACATATTTTAATCAGCAGATTGACATGGTTAGATTGATTCCTTCTAGCCTTTCTGTTTTGGTGGAGAAAGACTGGAAGAAGAGATCAGTTAGAAGGTGTTGCACCAGTCCAGGTGAGAAATGAGGGAGGCTTGAACTAGGGCAGCGTCAGGAAAACAAGGAAGATTTGCATGAGGCTTAAGAGGTATCCTCACCCAACAGGAGTCTGTGACTGACTGGGTGGTAGTGAGGGAGAGCGTAACTCCAGGCTCTGGTTGAGTGATTGGGCAGATGGATGGTGGTGTCCGTCATGGGGTGAGAAATGCAGCAGAATGAACCCCTGTGTGAGATGGAAGCGCTGCAGCCAGACTAGGATGGTTGGTTGGGTCATCCTGATCATCCTGTCAAACACAGGGTGGCTCACAGCCAGACCCAGAAATTTTGGTAAGAAAATCTAGGCAAGAGCCGCCTGCCCTCTGTTAGACTCTCCTCTGCCGTTGCTGGGTAGAATGGAGCGAGTGCTGGTTATCTGACTTCCACTTGATTTGATTCCTACAAAAGCTCCTGAAGAGGCGACTCCATCCAGGTCACATGAGAGTCCGTTTCCGGGTACCCATGCGTGACATTTGATCGCTTCTTGTATCACAGGAGTTTGTATCCTGTGCTGATTACTCCAGGTTTCTCTTTCTCCTTCTCTTCATTCATATCTTTGAAAAACTTTTTAGATTGTTTAAATTTATTATTTGATTTTTATTTCTATAGGTTTTGGGGGACCAGGTGGTGTGTGGTTACATGGATAAGTTCTTTGGTGTGATTTCTGAGATTTTGTGCGCCCATCACCTGGACAGTGTTGTGCACTGTTCCCAATTTGTGGTCTTTTTTTTTTTTTTTTTTTTTTTTGGAGACAGAGTTTCACTCGTTACCCAGGCTGGAGTGCAATGGCGCGATCTCGGCTCACCGCAACCTCCACCTCCTGGGTTCAAGCAATTCTCCTGCCTCAGCCTCCTGCGTAGCTGGAACTACAGGCATGCACCACCATGCCCAATTAATTTTTTTTTTTTTTTGTATTTTTTGTAGAGACGGGGTTTCACCACATTGACCAGGATGGTCCCAATCTCTTGACCTCAGATCCACCCACCTCAGCCTCCCAAAGTGCTGGGATTACAGGCTTGAGCCACCGTGCCCAGCCCCAATTTGTGATCTTTTATCCCTCACCCCTGCCACTGTTTCCCTCGAGTCCCCAGAGTCTCTTCATTTACATCTTATCTTCAGCTCCCTTTTCTCCTTTCCTCCCACCTGCTTCCCAAGGCAAGTTGCAGAGTGAGAAGCTTCTTGCTGCTTTCTTCTTGGCTGGTTTTTTAATGGAAGGTTTTGCATTTGCTGAGCAGAAATATAATGAGTCAGCATCCACGTGTGTCACCTATAGCAGAGGAGACTATTTCAAAGGGAAATGAATGGTCATTTTTCGTCTTACAACCATATCTCTTGCACAGAGGCAGCTACGAGGAAATTCTCCAGGTATTTTGAGCTCATCACTAGGTAGTGGCAAAGGAGCAGGGACTGATGTTGATGCCTGTGGCAGATCCACAGATTTCTGGAGCCAGTTTCTTCTCTGATAAACGGAAATCAGTGCAGTTTCTCTGTATACCTCAGGCGCAAATGAGATTACATAAAAATAGCTTGAAAAACATTTTTAAAGAGTTATCTGGCCAGGCGCGGAGGTTTGCGCCTGAAATCCCAGCACTTTGGGAGGCCGAGGCGGGTGGATCACGAGGTCAAGAGATCGAGACCATCCTGGCCAACATGGTGAAACCCCGTCTCTACTAAATACAAAAAAAATTAGCCGGGCATAGTGGCGCATGCCTGTAATCCCAGCTACTCGGGAGGCTGACGCAGGAGAATTGCCTGAACCCAGGAGGTGGAGGTTGCAGTGAGCCGAGATTGTGCCATTGCACTCCAGCCTGGGTAACAAGAGCGAAACTCCGTCTCAGGAAAAGAAGAATTATCTTATTTACAGATGATCAAAGTAAGGCATAGCGAGGTGACAGATTCCTGCCCTTCACTTACGAAGCAGATATGCTCAGGAGGTGTTGCTGTCTTATTGTAAGATCAATGGCTCCTTTCTTCCATTAGGGCAACTTTCAGAAGTTTCTGGATATAAAAGGTAAATGGAAATGGGTATTTGTGGAGGAAAAACTGTTTTTTCTCTATATTCACATTCAAGGCAAGACACTTCTGTGGCCACATGTGTGGTTTTTTCCCACACCAACCGATTGTCTGCCACCAGCTGGGTGTCCTGCCATCCAGTTCAGTTCTGACGGGATCTGTCTGGAGTTGGTGCAGACCCCACAGTTTAAGGGTTCAGCCCCACAAAAGTTCCCTCACTTAAGATGCCAATTACAAGTCTAGGCTGTCACTTTTGCTTCCGATCCAGCAGCTGCCAATTGGAGGTTTTCAAAACCCGCCTCGGGTTTGATCATTTGCTAGATTGGCTCACGGAGCTCAGCGGAGCATTACATTTATGGGCACATTGTAAAGGGCAGAGGGTATCAGAGCCAGATGAAAAAGTACACAGGGCAGGCATGTGGGAGGGAGCGTGAGTGTCCATGTCCTTTTCAGGTATGCCAGCCTCCCTTATGTAGATGTGTTCAGCCACCGGGGAGCTCTCCAGACTCTCTTTTAGAGATTTTTATGAAAGTTTCATTACACAGGCATGATGGATTATTAGCTCTCTCTCCAGCCACTTTCCCCTCTGGAGGATGGGGGTGAAGATGGGGCCAAAAGTTTCCTCCTCCTCCTCCTTCTTCCTCTTCTTCTCCTTCACAGTTCTCACTGTTCTTCTCCTCCTCCTCCTCCATCCCCTTCTCCTTCTTCTTCCTTTTCCTTCCTCTTCTTCCCTTTCTTCTGTCTCTTTCCTTCCTTCCTTCCCTCCTCCCTCCTTCCTTCTTCTTCCCTTCCTATTTCTCCTCCTCTTCCTCCTCTTCCCTCCCTCCCTTCTTCTTTCTCTCTCTGTCTCTCTTTCTTTCTTCAATTTTCACTATATTGCCTGGGCTGATATCAAACTCCTGGCCTGAAGCAATTCTCCCCACTTAGTCTCCCAAGTAGCTGGGATTACAGGTGTGCACCGTCTCACTCCACCGCACTGCCTGGGAGTCCCAGGCTCCTAGCTGTGGCTTGCTCTTTCTGGTGATCAGCCCCCATCCAGCAGCCCACCAAGAGTTGCCTCATCAGAAACAAAGACGCTCCTATAACCCAGGAAACTGCAAGAGATTTAGGAGCAGCTGTGTCAGGAGCTGGGGTAAAGACCAAATGTTTGAGTCAAAGATGTACCTGGCACCCCTGTGCCTCAGGAAATAACAAGGGTTTTAGGAATTCTGGGCCAGGAGCTTGGACAGTATATATATTTTTATTATATCACAGTATGGGAACTTTACGCCCTTGCCCTTGGCTTTTCTAAACACACGCCCTGTCATGTGTCACTGCCACAGTTTTTTCCTCTCAGGGTTGGGGCCACTACTCTGCTTAAGCCAGCTTGTTAGTTACGTGTGAACTGCCGCACCCTGTACATGGGTGAGGAGTTAATGAAGGCACCTCTCTTATCTGGAAGCTGTGTCTAATTAGCCACTGCATCAGACTCAGCTAATCAAGTCACTGAGCTACTTGCTCAGTTTGCACCAAGCCTCATAGACATTGTGTGGGAGACACCAGAGTAAGGGTTGAGGAGTCCCCTCACCCCCCACTTCACTTCTTTGGGCCCAAGGTGGGACAGTGTAACTAACAGGTCCCAAAATATAAGTCTGTCCTAAGTACAGCAGAGGGGCATGTTATCAAAAAGGATCTTCCAGTGCACACTAAAAGTGATCTAATCTACCACTCCATATGTTACCTGAAATTTTTAACTTAAAATTTTTGCTGAAGACCTATTATGTGCAAAACACTGTACTGGGCCCTAAAGATGAATACAGGAAAGAAGGGAAGGAGGAAGCAGGGAAGACTGGAAGGAAGGACAGACCTCACCCCTGCCATAGGAAGCTCAGTCCAAAAGGAAGAGGGAGACATGAGTGCTTGACATTAGTGCTTGAAGAGATTCTCCTCCGCGCATCCTCATCCTCTCCCCATCACAGCATCCCTGTGAAAGCTGCTCTCCTAGTTCCTGCGTTTTCTAAATGACTGTCAGCCTATCAGCAATGTCCTGTGCACTGGGGTTTAAGAGCTGTGAAATGACCCAGTCATTTTCTCCAAAACTTTTCGTCACTTTATGCTTCTTTCCTCCTCGATATTCCGGAGACACTTTTCTTCACTGTATATGTATCCATTTCATCCTCACTGGGTAGTGTGGTAGGATGGGAAGAAGCTAGTTTTTAGTGTCCATAACACTTAGGATTGAATTTTGGCTTCTCTATTTATGAGCAGAGTGATCTGGGGCAGGTTTCTTAATCTCACAGAATGGAGTGCTGTTTTATCTTCCAGTGAAAAGGGGAGATATGTTAATGCCTGTCATGCCAGGTTTTTAGAAAGATCACAATGATAATGACAAGATTAGAAGAGCACAAATAGCAGGTACTCTCATCTTTTGTTCTCTCTCTGAGAGATGGGTTGTACGTGTTGAATTCAATGGGAGTGCATTGTGGAAGCGCAGCGTCCTTGAAATTCTGTTTAGAGTTGAGGGGAGACAAGGTGAGCTCCTACGGGGCACTGCTGTTTTCTGTATGTTCTACCACTTGTTACTGAATAAAGTAATAGGTCATTAAGCCGTAATGACTGTAGCTGGGGATGGCACATGCTCCTGAGTACTGTTAGTTTAGGATTCAGATCTCTGAAACACAACTACTCAATGCCTGGGGAAAGATATTTGTAACATAATATCAACAACTAGAATCCAGAATATAAAACTAACCACTTTAGATAAATAAGAAAAAGACAGAGAAGCCAAGAGAAGGACAGGAAATGGCTGAGAAATTCAGAGACGGGAAGTCCCATAGTTAATAAACCCAGGAAAAGATGTTCCCCTCACTAGTAAGCGGTACAAATTAAAACAATACGAAGCACGATTTCACACCCGTCAGAGTGGCAGAAATTTAATAACACTAAGTGCTGGGAAGGATGTGGGGCATGGATATGTATACATTCCTGGGAGGAATGGGAAAGGGAGAGCGATTTTTGTGGAGTTGGAGGTGCACCTGTCCTTGGACCCAGCAATTCCTTTTCTTGGTGTATGCCCAGTGGGAACTCCTACATGTCCAAGAAGAGATGCACAGAGACATCAAGGATGATTGCTTCAGCTTAGGGTGTAATAGGGGAAAGTTGGAAATAGTGCATGTGATCACCTGTAGAGGAATGGATAAGCTGGCATCATCAGGTAAAGGCATCTATGCAGAAGTTAGGCGAATGCCCTTTATTGAGATTTACTTCATGGATAAATTACTTAAATGTAATTTTGAGTGGAAAAAAAAGCAAGTTTTAGAAGATTATGTAGAATATGGTGCCTTTTGTTTGAATACAAACACAAATTATAGTTGGCTATGATTATATAAGGAAGTAGTAATTTGTAAAAATACGTAAGGAAGTAGTAATTTTCAAGGAAAGATGCATGCCAGCTTCGGGATAATGGTTAGTACTAAGGAAGAGAGAGGGGGGAACTGGGTAGTGTGTAGGAGTCACTTTAGCTTTATTTCATTTCTTAAATTAAAGGGCTGAACCCAATATAGCAAAATGTGAAGACATGAATGCTCGGTAGTGGAAACACACGTGTCATTATTTTTTTATGATGCTTGCAATGTTTCATGCATAAAATAAAGCCTCCCTATCTTTGCTAGACCATGGCTTAGCATGGCTGTTTGTATTTGCAATGAAGCTCTGGAGAAGGAATAAAGAGACCCCGGGCTAAGCAATGTCCCAGGTGCTGAGTGGTCTGTGCTGCCTCTGTCCAGCAGCTGCTTCCCGGTCTTCTCTCCTTCTACGGTCTGTGAGGTCTGTGTGGGCTCCAGCTGCTGACCTTCTCACCACTAAGGCCACGAGGTGCCAGTGTAACTTCTGAGAGAAGCTGAGTCATGTGGTCCTTATAAATGCAGTTATTTTGAAATAGTGTTAACTTGAGTTTTGGTTTACAATAGGCTCAAACGTTCCTAGGTCTAGATCCAGAACCTCCAGATGAGCTGATTCCTGGCTAGAGTGGAATCTCCTTTGTCTTAATAGGCTCAAACGTTCCTGTGTCTAGATCCAGAGCCTCCAGATGAGCTGATTCCTGGCTAGAGTGGAATCTCCTTTGTCTTAATAGGCTCAAACGTTCCTGTGTCTAGATCCAGAGCCTCCAGATGAGCTGATTCCAGGCTAGAGTGGAATCTCCTTTGTCTTAAAGTGGATCTGCTTTGTCAGGTGATGTGCGATGTGATCTGTCCGTAATGTGTGTGGTTTTCTTTGCTTCTGTTTGTTTTAGCTCACAGATGTGTACGGTACATCGCCCTCTCTGAGTCGTTACTTTACTTCAGCTGAAGTAGTGGACTTCAGGTAAGAGTGTGGAACATCACATTTTGATCTCTTTCTTTGGAAAGAGATCCCCCCACCCCACCCTTCATCATTTACCTAGCAGGGCTCCCCAGAGCCTCGGAGCATGAAGGGAACTGGTAATAGAACCATAGAGCATCAGTGCTGGGAAGGCCTTTTACACCAACGGGCTCAACTCCCTTATTTTACAAATGAGAAAAAGGAAGCCCAGATTTTTTTTTTTTTTCTTGAGACTGAGTTTCGCTCTTGTTACCCAGGCTGGAGTGCAATGGCGCGATCTCGGCTCACCGCAACCTCTGCCTCCTGGGTTCAAGCAATTCTCCTGCCTCAGCCTCCTGAGTAGCTGGGACTAGAGGCACATGCCACCATGCCCAGCTAATTTTTTGTATTTTTAGTAGAGACAGGGTTTCACCATGTTGACCAGGATGGTCTCGATCTCTTGACCTCGTGATCCACCCGCCTCAGCCTCCCAAAGTGCTGGGATTACAGGCGTGAGCCACCGCGCCCAGCCAGAAGCCCAGATTAATGGTATGATTGAACCAGAGTCACACAGTCCCAGATAAATTGTTTCTGTTTAACAATGAGTGCTCCAGTAAGCTAGGGGTAGAAGTGGAAATCGGTCTCAGGTAATGCTGTGATGTAAGTGATATATTCTATGTAGAGGCATTTGCTTTTGAGGAGCACAAGTAATACAGGAGAATGTATTACTTGGAATACAGGAGTACATTCTCCTGTACTACTCCTTTAGTATTAAAGACATAAAGAGGAGCCAGGTGTGGTAGCTCATGCCTGTAATCCCAGCACTTTGGGAGGCTGAGGCAGGTGGATCACTTGAGGTCAGGAGTTCGAGACCAGCCTGGCCAACATGGTGAAACCCTGTCTCTACTAAAAATACAGAAATTAGCCAGGCATGGTGGCCGATGCCTGTAATCCCAGCTACTCGGGAGGCAAAAGCAGGAGACTCTCTTGAACTCGGGAGGGGAGGTTACAGTGAGTTGAGATCGCACCATTGCACTCCAGCCTGGGTAACAAGAGTGAAACTCCGTCTCAAAAAAAAAAAAAAAAAAAAGAAGAAGAAGAGAAGACATAAAGAGGTATGTACAGGGAAAGTCTACCTTCTGCCTTCTTTATTCTCCACTGCCACCAATAACCGATACTATTCCCTTCCATGGCATTAACAGCTGTTGAGAGTTGAGTGTGACTGCCTCTGTTTGTGTATCTGCTACAGGCACCACGGATGCCACACAGCCACATGCATTTTTTACTTTTAAAATTTTCCTCTCGTCTTTACTGTTCTTGAGATGTAGGCATCAGGGTGTGTGTGGGGAGCTGGTTTATTATCCTTTACACCATTGGGACTATTGGAGAAGACTTAAGTTCATATCAAAGCTTTGTTCCACGATTCCTGAGATGGCTCTGGAATATGATCATCAAAAGTTATATTATATTGAGATTCCTTTTTCAAACCTTAAGTTCTCCAAACCCTAATAATATTAGCAGACCTGGGAAGGGAGGAATGTAAAGGTGGCCGGTAGCACTATGGTATGGGGCCAAACAGACCTGAAGTCTACAGATACATACCGTGCAGGCTGCTTTGATCTCCTTCTTCAAAGACCCCCAATGGGCTGGGTGCAGTGGTTCATGTCTGTAATCCCAGCACTTTGGGAGGCCGAGGTGGGCAGATCACAAGATCAGGAGATCGAGACCATCCTGGCCAATATGGTAGAACCCTGTCTCTACTAAAAATACAAAATGTAGCCAGGTGTGGTGGCACATGCCTGTAATCCCAGCTACTCAGGAGGCTGAGGCAGGAGAATCTCTTGAACCCGGGAGGTGAAGGTTGCAATGAGTACAGGTTGTGCCACTGCACTCCAGCCTGGTGACGGAGTGAGACTCCTTAAAAAAAAAACGACCTCCAGTGTACATGGTACTTACAATGACCTCTCTGCATTTAATTTCAAGAAGTCCAGGCAGAGGTTCTAAAGTATTGAATTTAGGAAGGAAAGCCATTGGTTCCCAAAGGACACTGCTGCACATGGGTGGGAGGTGGCTAAATCCCCGACACATGCATTTGTGTCTACAGGGGCATTGCAACCTCAGCCCTAGACTGGCCCAACAGGAACCTGAAAAAATGCCCTTTGGTTTATTGGCAGCTAGACTCATTCCAGTGGTGGGCAGGTGGGGGAAAGGCCCTGAAAATTACGCTTTTCTCAAAATTCAGCCTTATGTAAATTTACCCTGTGACCTGCCATGGGGGATTAGGATGGGCTAGCCAGGTCAGGCTAGGGGCCTGATTTTCCCATTCAGCCTGTGACCTGGTCGTCTGAAAGTCAGCCTCTGGCCGTCTTTATTAGCCAGCCGAAGCCCTTGCCCCTGGGAATGAGGGTGGCTGGCTGTCTAGGTGTTAATCATCATTAGAGATAATTAGAGGGCAGAGCTCAGGGAACAAGTTAAGACACCTGCAAACTAGGGTAGCCGGACTGCAGTTTGAAAGTGCAGTTTTCGGCCTCCCTGTAGTGGCATCCTTGAAGCTGTGAGTTTCTTCAGAGTCTTCACTCTCCATTACTCGTTCGATCTGCAGGATCTGGCACATCTCCCAGCCCTAGTAGAATTGATAAACAATTGTCAGCCACCTTGTAAGATCCAAGAGTATCTGCCTATGTCTCCTCTGGCCAGAAGAGGGAGCTCTTTGCCTATCCTTAGCGGGGCCATGGTCTGATTCACACTAATGGGACTGGTGTGTCTGCAAAACTTCCGCAAGGTCAGAGTCTGGGATGTGGCCTCCTGCTAATTATTTTATTGCTGGTTCTTAATCTGGCCCATCTTGAACCAAAGTGGTAAGATAACTATTAATAAACTAAATGTTGAGGCAGCATTTAAAGAGTAGCATTGGACACTAATTAATGGAGGGTAGCCCTTGATTATTTTAATTTTAGAAATGGGAAAAAAATGTTCTAGGAAGATGAAACTCCCCTTTCTTTAGGTCCCATTACGGAGAGTTACAGGGCTTGGTTCTCTTGCCCTAGGGCCTCTGGAAATGGGACAGAAAAGTGTCTCATTTTGGGGACAAAGCAGGGAAGTATGATTTGTTGCTGATACACAGGGTGGTCTCTGTCAATAATCAGAAGTTCTGGACCCAGCCAATGACAGGAAACTTGGGCTGTGCCTTAAACATCTTCATAGGTCAAATAAAGAGCTGGTTAATTTAAATATCCCTGACACACCTTTGTGGGGGCAATGCTGAGAACATGGAGAAGGGGTGTGTGTGGAGAAAAGGGGAGGCTTCCCTGGCTTGCCTGAAGGGATGGAGGCTGGGATTGGGACATGATGGGTCAAGCCTGGGATCGTCTAAGGCATCGTGACCGTAGGTGGGCTTCACCTTTCCCCTGATGGCCTCTGCCAGTGGATTCCAAGAGGGGGGTACTAGGTGGAGGAAGGGGTAGGATCACCTCAACTTTTTGTGATGAACCTATGTTCTTCCAGGACAGAACAGAACAGCCTTTGCTATAAACTTTCCAAAAAAAAGTTATTGCTTAAACTCATTTTTTGAGTTGCTGTGTGATGCTATCTATGTTTTAACGTCTCTGGTTTGCCTTTCAGTGGTGAAAATGCCACAGTAACCTACCACCTGCAATTTGGGGTTCCCTCGGATGATGAAAGTTTTATGAAGTATATGATGAGTGAGGAGTTGGTGCTGGGCATTTTGCTGCAGGATTTCCATGATCAGAACATACCTGGTTGTGAGAATCTGGGGCTTGATCCAGCATCCCTCTTGCTCGATGGTAAGTAAAGAAGTCAGAGCTGGCCGGGCGCGGCGGCTCACGCCTGTAATCCCAGCACTGTGGGAGGCCGAGGCGGGCGGATCACGAGGTCAAGAGATCGAGACCATCCTGGTCAACAAGGTGAAACCCCGTCTCTACTAAAAATACAAAAATTAGCTGGGCATGGTGGCGCACACCTGTAATCCCAGCTACTCGGGAGGCTGAGGCAGGAGAATTGCCTGAACCCAGGAGGCGGAGGTTGCGGTGAGCCGAGATCGCGCCATTGCACTCCAGCCTGGGTAACAAGAGTGAAACTCCATCTCAAAAAAAAAAAAAAGTTCTCAGAGTCTGACAAATGGGGTGTTTGTTAGATTTATTAAACAGCGTTACCTATTTCCTTGTTCTGTTCTTTGTTTTAAAAGTTGACGAGTAAATTTGTCATGATTTTCCAAGGAAAGGAGTAATCTTGTCTTCGTATACCCCTCAATTAATTTTAATGGTCTCGGTGGCCTTCAACAGAAAAAGAAATAGGTTCCCCATACTGAGATACCCTTTCAGCAATTTAGCTGTATCCTTTGTTTCAAATTCTTCAATTCTTACCCCTCTTGTGAAACCACAGTGCCTGCATGAAGGTTGCTGATCATGTCGTGAAGTAGGATGCAGGGGTGGAATGTGGGTGAACTGCATGAGGAAACATGCCCAGCTAATTTTTTTCTTCTTTTTGTATTTTTAGTAGAAACAGGGTTTCACCTTGTTGACCAGGATGGTCTCGATCTCTTGACCTCGTGATCCACCCGCCTCAGCCTCCCAAAGTGCTGATATTACAGGCTTGAGCCACCGCGCCCAGCCTGACTCTGAGAACTTTTAACACTCGGAACAAAACCTGGCAGAAAGGAAGGTGGGAAGGCCAAATGGCTCCAGGTCTCCAAATGTCCTTTCACTGCTCTGTAGTGAAGCTCCGGCCTTTGCTGGGGACCTCGCCTTCTGATACCTCGCTCGGAGGCTGCTTACTCTTGTTTAGCCCATAATGCCAGCGATCTTGGACATTTTATGTTCTCATCCACAGTCCATCCAAATCACTTTCTCCGCATTCGTAGGTACTCAGTAAATACTAGTTGAATGGGTGAGAAAGGCAAATTAGAAGTAGCCGTGGTTGGCAGCAGGTGCAGTAACGGTCTAGAATCAAAAGCATGAAACAGGCTTAAAAGCGCACGTGTTAATGCATAGTACAAGGCAAGGTGTTTAATATGATGACACAGTTTCTGCAGGATGAGAGGCAAGAGTAATGTTGGCCTAAGAAGGCAGAAAGTTATGTAAAGCAGTACCTAAGAATGCAATTCAGAAGGCCGAATTTTAGCTCACTGGAAGAGTCTCATACACGGAGAGCTTCCTCACAGAGCATCCTCAATAAAATGTGTCTCTGGGTCAGGCAGACAATATACATGTCTGGAGTGAAGAGGTTGTGCCCCAATTATAGGAATTAAAAAAAAAAAAAAAAAAGACCAGGCTGGTGGCTCATGCCTGTAATCCCAGCACTTTGAGAGGCCAAGGCAGGTGGATCACCTGAGGTCAGAAGTTCAACACAAGCCTGGCCAACATGGCGAAACCCCATCTCTACTAAAAATATGAAAATTAGCCAGGCAAGGTGGCAGGCACTTGTAATCCCAGCTACTCAGGAGGCTGAGGCAGGAGAATTGCTCGAACCTTGGAGGTGGAGGTTGTAGTGACCTGAGATCGCATCACTGCATTCCAGCCTGGGCCACACAAACAAAACTCCATCTCAAAAGAAAACAACAACCCACCACCCCACAACAAATCTTCAGCCTCCCCCTTTGTAAAGAGGCCTGTGATGCCTGTGAGGGCTGCTGCTGTGGTGTGCTTGGTCTTGATTTTCCTAGGCTCCTTCCAAAAACTGTTAATTGGCTCTTTCCAAATAGAGGCCAGGGAGGTGGGCAGAGGTCTGAGGAAAGGTTGAAGAGGATTCCGAGGCTGTGAGGTTCGTACAGCACAAGATAGGCTGCACAGGGTAGGCTGCTGTGAGGCCTGAGCAGAGCTCCCAGAAGACCCTGAGCTTGTCAGAGAGACTCAGGTGTTTCCCCAGGGCTCAGTGCTGGGAAGGCAGCTGCGAGAGGAACAAAGTCTGCTCTTGGAAATTGCACTCCCTCTCTCAGACGTTTCATCTGAGTGGACGTGCTCAGAAAATGTGGGGTTTTCTGCAACTCCATGTTCCACTTTCCAGAGCATAAATGTGCAATATTTAAGTGATTTTATGATTTCAAAATGTGAGTGTCACTGCCCTCTCAAAAGGGAAGGGTGCACAGAGAACAATTGGGAAGTGAGGAAAGGAGAAGAGAGACTCATCACAGTCAGGCAGCCAGAAGGGGGATGAGCTCAGAGGGAAGATGTGTCAGGGAGAGGCCCAGGGCCCTGGGAGGGACCAAGTGAATTCTTTTTTTTTTTTTTTAGACGGAGTTTCGTTCTTGTTACCCAGGCTGGAGTGCAATGGCGCGATCTCGGCTCACCGCAACCTCCGCCTCCTGGGTTCAGGCAATTCTCCTGCCTCAGCCTCCTGAGTAGCTGGGATTACAGGCACGCGCCACCATGCCCAGCTAATTTTTTGTATCTTTAGTAGAGACGGGGTTTCACCATGTTGACCAGGATGGTCTCGATCTCTTGACCTTGTGATCCACCCGCCTAGGCCTCCCAAAGTGCTGGGATTACAGGCTTGAGCCACCGCGCCCGGCCCCAAGTGAGTTCTTACACCAATTTCCACGTGCACATGAGCTGTGTGCTTGGAGGATTCCCCCACTGCCCTGTGATTAGCTGGGTAACTAGTGTCCCACAATGTAATGTTCTTAGTCTTCAAAGAGCAAAGATTCTTAAAATTGTTTGGTTTGCGTGCCCCTTTGAGAATTAGAAGAGAGCTGTGTGCCTCTCCCCAGGAAAAAAAAAAATGTGCATACCTCTCCCCACAACGCAAAATTGTATAGACAATTTCAGGGATTCTGAGTATTTCCCTGGAGCCGGCCTATGGTCCATTCTGTTTGGGGTTTGTATATGAGCACTTTAGAAGCTGAATCGGAAATTAGATTGTAATTTGTATTCCTGAGGGGTTTTGTGTGTGTATTCTTCTCGTTCTCTAATTTGGAACTATGGTGATTATTTTGACCTGACTACATGCACATTTTGATGCCTTATAAAAATAAAAACCTTCCTTGAAATATCATGATAAAATTTTTCAAGTCCACTGTCCCTCACGTTCCTTATCTTAGATCTTCTTCACCTTCCAGATGAGTGGGGCCCCAGGCTAAGGTGGGGAAGTCTGTTTTACTGATGTCACAGAATAGGTCAGCATCATGGGTTATTTTGGATGCAGAGGAGGTACTTGGTACTGTTCTCACATGGGAAGGAGCTAGGAGACTGAATAGAGGAAAAGGGCAAAACCAGGATTTTTGTGAGAGAGAAGAGGGGAAAAGCCCCAGGTAGGGGAATAGTGAATCTTGTCAGTCCTGTCAGTGGTGGTGGGCTGGACTCCTGCTGTGTAGACCCCGGCAGGCTCCCTCTGCGTGTGTCTGCTGAGGGACTTGCATCTGCCTGCACCTGCATCCTCGCCCGAGGGTTCACAGTGTTTCTCTTGTCAGGATTTCTCACAGTATATTATATACGTTTTAAAAACTGAAACTTTAGAGTTTATGGTTAGATTATGAAAACAGCCTGGATGTTAAAATGTCTTCAGCACCCAAAAACCACATCATCAAATTGTATTTCTCATGCATCCTACCCAGAGAAATAAGCAACAAACAAGAAATGTGATTTGCCTTTTGAAATGCATTCAGAGGGGTATGTGTGTACGTGGACTGACAGTAAACTTCCTCTGTTAGGAATTTATAAACGTTATAATTTTATCCAAGATCTTATACTCAAATCCAGTGAAATGAAATAAAAACATAAGCGTTTAATAATGATTTTAAAAATCAGTAACTTTTGTCATCTGCGTTATCTTTTTAGAATGAAGCAATGGAGGTCAGTCTGCGTCCGAAAGCAGTGCCCCAGAGTCCTAGAGATGAAGGGAATTCACTCTGTTTTACGGAAAAGATTCTGTGAATTAATTCAGAAGCACCAGCAACAACCAGGGAGGTGGAGACTCCTTTCTCTCCTGATTCTGCAGTCTGGCTCCAAGCCCAGTAAAACAGCTCCTGAGCACTGCTTCAGCTGGGTCCACTCTTGACAAAGGCAGGAAGCCAGCTAGGGTTGGGGCGACAGTGTCAGCAGGTGTGTCCCGCTGTGGGAGGTCACTGGTATTCTTTTTTTGTTTCTGTTTTTGGGACAGGGTGTTGTTCTATCCTTTAGGCTGGAGTGCGGTGGTGCTCACTGCTGTTCTTGAAGCACGCCACCCACCTGCATTCCTTTATCTTTAGCACAGAGGTGCACTGCCTTCTTTTAGGTGGGATCACATAAGCATGAGCTGGTAGAGCAGGGAGAGGCAGGCAGCCAGGTTAGGATGACTAAGCCAATCATTCCCTGAAATCACCCTTTTTCCCTCCACCGATGTATTTGATCTACCTCTAAGCCAGGGTGTGAAGAAAAGGAAGGCACTTTAGAAGACCTCAGCGGTGTGGCTCTGTGTCTGCTTCCATGACCTGCACCTGAGTGTCTTAGCCAACCAGCCCTGGGCGCACCACCAAGGCTACCTGGAGGTCTATATATGTAGCTACAGATGGGAGCATGTGTTTCTTCCATGACCTGCACCTGAGTGTCTTAGCCAACCAGCCCTGGGCGCACCACCAAGGCTACCTGGAGATCTATATATGTAGCTACAGATGGGAACATGTGTTTCTTCCATGACCTGCACCTGAGTGTCTTAGCCAACCAGCCCTGGGCGCACCACCAAGGCTACCTGGAGGTCTATATATGTAGCTACAGATGGGAACATGTGTTTCTTCCATGACCTGCACCTGAGTGTCTTAGCCAACCAGCCCTGGGCACACCACCAAGGCTACCTGGAGATCTATATATGTAGCTACAGATGGGAGCATGTGTTTCTTCCATGACCTGCACCTGAGTGTCTTAGCCAACCAGCCCTGGGCACACCACCAAGGCTACCTGGAGATCTATATATGTAGCTACAGATGGGAGCATGTGTTTCTTCCATGACCTGCACCTGAGTGTCTTAGCCAACCAGCCCTGGGCGCACCACCAAGGCTACCTGGAGGTCTATATATGTAGCTACAGATGGGAGCATGTGTTTCTTCCATGACCTGCACCTGAGTGTCTTAGCCAACCAGCCCTGGGCGCACCACCAAGGCTACCTGGAGGTCTATATATGTAGCTACAGATGGGAGCATGTGTTTCTTCCATGACCTGCACCTGAGTGTCTTAGCCAACCAGCCCTGGGCGCACCACCAAGGCTACCTGGAGGTCTATATATGTAGCTACAGATGGGAACATGTGTTTCTTCCATGACCTGCACCTGAGTGTCTTAGCCAACCAGCCCTGGGCGCACCACCAAGGCTACCTGGAGGTCTATATATGTAGCTACAGATGGGAGCATGTGTTTCTTCATTGGTTTGCGGCTCCCCATTGTTCCTGTGATTCCTGAACGCCCTTTTTGGAAACGTGAGTCCCTGGGAGTTTTCACTTCGGATAGTCACTCCATTTGTATTTTTTATAAACTTCCATCAGAGAATCATTAAGGCTGTGGAACATCTACTATGGATATTATGGATTGGCTTCTTGTTGCCCAGGGTTACACACCTTCCTGTAGAACTCAGTGTCTTCAGGCAATGATTGCGTATCCTCTTACAGATGGTGGTGTACAAGAAGAACCACTCGCCTTTGAAAATAAATTGTTGGAGAGTTTTGCCAGCTATTTGGGGGGTAGGAGGAATATTAGCGACTGTGTTGGTTCTTTACAGATAGAGAATTGCCTGTCCTGAGGGAACGGAGTATTTGTTTTGTTGGGAAAAGAAATTTACCAGGAGAAAGAGTTTTGTGCTGTATCTTGACAGATCTCTAGCCCTAGTCTCTCAGTTAATTCAGCTCTGGGTTAGTCAGTGTGTGGGCACATGCTAGAGTATCTGCCTCAGACTAGATCTGACATGAGTCTTCCTGACCCAGGACTCTGGATAATGTGAATCTCTTTCTTATTTAACTGGAAGATCCATGTACTGCAGATCATTGTCTCATTTTAGGGATTGTTCCTTAAACTAGTGAAACTAGTGGATTTCTCTTCTTCCTCTTTATTTTTTACGTGTGAAATGTGAACTTTAGTGTGTTTCTATTTTTCAGAAAATAATGAAAACTTCTAATGGAGAATGATTTAAAAACATTTACAATAAATTATTTTTGCATCTGTGTTGTTGCATTCTCGTTGGCTGTGCTTGGGGCTGGGTTTTTTTGTTTGTTTGATTTTTGTTTTTTGTAGTAACTGGTGTTGAGTGTAATCTTTTCATTTCCCTGAGGGCAGCTTCCTCTTCTGGGTGAATGAGATGGAGCCAAGTTTGGCTGGGGCAGCCTGGGGTCTGGAGTTTGGCTGGGGCGGCCTGGGGTCTGGAGTTTGGCTGGGGCGGCCTGGGGTCTGGAGTTTGGCTGGGGCGGCCTGGGGTCTGGAGTTTGGCTGGGGCGGCCTGGGGTCTGGAGTTTGGCTGGGGCGGCCTGGGGTCTGGAGTTTGGCTGGGGCGGCCTGGGGTCTGGAGTTTGGCTGGGGCGGCCTGGGGTCTGGAGTTTGGCTGGGGCGGCCTGGGTCTGGTCTCTGTCCCCTCTTTCTCCGAGGCTCTCTGGCAGGACTTGTATCTGAACGGGCCTGGGCTTGAAGGAATGGCCTGTTCACTTCTGGAGGCAGGATTGGGTTTTCTTTTTCCTTTCTTTTTTGGAAAGCACCAGCTGCAAGTACCTAGTTTTGGGTTTTGACCATTTGCAAGTCAGAGGGAGGACTTTTCATAGGTTTGGTTTTTCTGCCCAAATGGTATGAAAAGAATTAACCTTTGTGACTCACATATTTGGGAGTGCTTGAAAAAACGGCACTTGCAAATGCGCTGATCTGCTGTAGGAGATGAAGCTACTGGTCATCACACAACGTAACGATCAGCCTAATGCCCGGCGCACAGTGGCTCTCAATAACTGAAGGACCCGGCGCACAGTGGCTCTCAATAACTGAAGGACCCGGCACAGAGTGAGCTCTCAATAACTGAAGGGTTTGAGAAGGAAAACTGCTCTTCCCTGGATGTCACTTAGATGTGGATAGAAGGGTGACAGCCATATCAGCGGAACCTGCTCCTGTTTCTCCTGCTGATGAAAATTCCAGCCTTGTGTCCGATTCTTTTTTGCCTTTCAGTTTAATTTAGTTCTATAGATTTGAAAAAATGATGCATTTTATAGAAGGCTCTAGGGGATACTAATGGAGAAGACGACAGTAAAAATGCAGCTGTTAGTTTTACTGAGAGGTCAGGACCAGCACAGATGAGACAGGAACAGCAGGAAAAATACCCGGGGGTTAAAACAAAGGTAGGCCGGGCATGGTGGCTCACGCCTGGAACCCCAGCACTTTGGGAAGCCGAGGTGGGTGGATCACCTGAGGTCAGGAGTTCTAGACCGGCCTGACCAACATGGTGAAACCTCATCTCTACTGAAAATTAGGCAGGCATGGTGGCAGGCACCTGTAATCCCAGCTACCTGAGAGACTGAGGCAGGAGAATTGCTTGAACCTGGGAGGCAGAGGTTGCAGTGAGCTGAGATCACACCATTGCACTCCAGCCTGGATGGCAAGAGTGAAACTCTGTCTCAAACAAACAAAAACACAAAGGCAAACAGTAGGGTTGTGGGTGGTCAGAGAAAAGAGTGGTCACTATCGTTTAATTGGAGGAGTTTTTTTGTTTTTTGTTTTTGTAGGAAGTAGGATTCAAGTTGAATCCTGAAGCACTGGTAGGATTTGAATAAGAAGATTTTTGGCCGGGCGTGGTGGCTCACGCCTGTAATCCCAGCACTTTGGGAGGCTGAGGCAGGCGAATCATGAGGTCAAGAGATCGAGACCATCCTGGCCATGGTGAAACCCCGTCTCTACTAAAAATACAAAAATTAGCCAGGCATGGTAGCACGCACCTGTGGTCCCAGCTGCTCGGGAGGCTGAGGCGGAAGAATCACTTGAACCCAGGTGGAGGTTGCAGTGAGCCGAGATTGTGCCATTGCATTTCAGCCTGGTGATAGAGTAAGACTCCATCTCAAAAAAAAAAAAAAAGATTTGCTTTTCTTTATGCATCTTTGTGCCCTTTTAGGATGAGGAACATTTTCTCTCCTTTGTCTTTTACATGCGAATTCTGGACATGAATTCCTGTCTTACTCAGAGTCTGACCAACGCTAAGAAAAAAATGCGAAAAATCTCTCAATGTCCTCCTTCTCCTTCCCCATCACTCTTTCATTGCTTTAAAATAAGTTAATTCGCACTATTGCTGCACTGCTGGCAGCTTTATCCACAGACAGCCTTGAATGTTTCCTTTGCAATGAGAGATCATGGACTCAGCATCAAAAGGCACCTCCCTCATCTCACAGTTGGGAAATCAAATCCTACTGGGAGAGCTGGGAGGGCCAGCCCAGAGTTCTACAGCTTGTTGAGGGCAAAGCCCAGCCCACAGGCCAACCACACATGATGAATGGCCTCCAGCCAAGATCCCCAGGGGCATGCTCCGTTCAGGCTTGGCTGACATCTGGGAATCCCTAAGGAGCACAGATGGTCAGAGGTCAGGGGTGAATGGAAAGGGAGGGCCCTCAGACTGCAGGAGACTGTGATGATAATGACGACCTCTCCAGGCTTCTCCAAGTGCCTTGGAAGAGAGACTTCTGTAGGAAAGCAGGAAGAATTTACACTGGTACACTTGACATTTGGCAGAGCCAAGGTATGCTCAGATCAAGTGGCTTTCTGAACTTGAGGCTATAGGCTTGGAAAAGAACAGAGATAAATGGAAACAGTCTACTTTTCCCTGGAGCCCTCATGGAATCCTGGAGGCTTCCCTTTCCTGTTCTGTCTATGCCCTTCCATCCCTGAAAATATCCAAAGCAATTATCATACAAGTTTGTCCTAAAATACGTTAGCATTTCAACTTGCTGTCAACAGATTTTCCCGCCCTCTATTTGCCCTCTTCCTATTTTTCTCTTCTGTTTTAAATAAGAATTTATTCACAGAATAAGGGACTGTTTATAGATGCTAGTATGTATGTAAAACGGAAACCACAAAGTCTGCATTTGTGGCATGAATTGCGCCTCTGAATTTTGGCTATGTAGTTCTAAGACCAGCATGAGTGAGAGGAGTTTTCTGGTTATATGTGGCTTGAGAGGGTAATTTAACTGCTAAGGCTCAGGTTCTTTATCAGGAATAGGGATTATTTGCTTTTCTTTATGCATCTTTGTGCCCTTTTAGGATGAGGAACATTTTCTCTCCTTTGTCTTTTACATGCGAATTCTGGACATGAATTCCTGTCTTACTCAGAGTCTGACCAACGCTAAGAAAAAAATGCGAAAAATCTCTCAATGGTATCTGGTTCTCTGCTAACTTCCTACTTTTAGCAAAATTATTTCACGTGGAACTCTAGCTGATCCTTGGCCAGGATCAGATCCTCAAAAGGAGGTAATCATGTTAGCAGTGGATATTGTATAAGATGTAACATGGCTTAGAGGAAAGAGTGTGGACCCCAGAGACAGGTCATCAGTCATTCAAATCCGGATTCTAAGAATCTTTCACAGAGGGGTTGCATCCCTAACCCCTGCACACATCATATAAAAATGTGTGTGTGTGTGTGAATGTGCATTTTCTGCCAAGGGGGTGCACAGCTTTTAACAGAAATCGTAAAATGTAGGGAAAACAGGTCAGTGTTACATACAGACAGTGGGCATTTTTAGACATCGAAATTTATTTACAGGAAATTTGAGACATCCTACACATTAAGTATATTACATTTATCAGATTTTTTTACTTATATTTTTTGTTCTTAATTTACTTTTCACTGAGAAATTGTAATTGTATATCTTCTATTGGGTATCTTGAAGCACTCCCAAATGGCTCCCCCTGCTCAAAAATAATTCCCTTTCATAATCCCTCTCATAATCCCTGTTATAACTTCATTATAAGAATAATTTTTTGGTTAAGCATTTTGATAACTGTTTGGGACAGGTAATGCTTTCACAGGACAAGGTTCAAACAAATGTAACTTACCATGTCATACTACGAGTATTTCTTTTTTTATTTTTTATTGCATTTTAGGTTTTGGGGTACATGAGCAGAACATGCCAGACAGTTGCGTAGGTACACACATGGCAGTGTGTTTTGCTTCCTTCCTCCCCTTCACCCACATTTGGCATTTCTCCCCAGGCTATCCCTCCCCACCTCCCCCTCCCACTGGCCCTCCCCTTTTCCCCCCCAATAGACCCCAGTGTTTAGTACTCCCCTCCCTGTGTCCATGTGTTTCAACCAATTGACTTCCACAATGGTCAGGTAGCCATGTGAAAAATTCTAGCATCAACTCATTGGTCTGGTATTTCTACTTTGCTGGAGGACGGCTGGGCGACCCTGAATAACCAGCTCTATCAGCACATTTTTTCCCATACATCGTAAAAGATTTTTGTTTTTCTGTTCTCTTCAATATCATTTATTAGGCATCTGTAATAGATGATTTGCCTACATTCGATGTAATCCTCCTGTTGATGGGTAAAGATGCTGAGCCTCCACTAGCATTTCAAAGTCACAGATGGAGGGAGAATCCGGATTTGAATGACTGATGACCTGTCTCTGGGGTCCACACTCTTTCCTCTAAGCCATGTTACATCTTATACAATATCCACTGCTAACATGATTACCTCCTTTTGAGGATCTGATCCTGGCCAAGGATCAGCTAGAGTTCCACGTGAAATAATTTTGCTAAAAGTAGGAAGTTAGCAGAGAACCAGATACCAAGATGCGGCTCTTTAGCCGCAGACCATCACCTGGCTGAAGGCTCTTCAAACCTGCGACACGTTCAAGCTCAAGCCACGGGATTTCTCCTCATTTTGGCACTTAGCACATTTTAAATAGCAAAGTTATTTTGCTCTGGTTAACTCTGAGAAGAAAACAGTAACTAAACATAATGTACTAGGGGCCCTGTCACTTACCTGTTAAAAGGGCCTGTCTAGTAAACGTAACATACCTACTGCTTGTCTTAACAAACCTCTTTCAAAACAAACTATTTTAGCATCCCTAAAGTTAGGACAGTAGCCATGAGTTAAACAAAACAGCAACTAGAAGACACAGGTGTGAATACAGAGATAGGAGAATTTGCTAAATTGTCTTGGTCTCACTCATCCAATCTGTGATTTAATATTTTTATGCCATTTTACTGGTGCCTGCTCTTATGCATCAGTAACCAAACACATTTCTGTTAAGTTTCTCTGAAACTATAATTATTTAGGGCAGCTGTCTGCAAACGTTTTTTCCACAAAGTGCCCAAGTATATTTATTTTGACTCTAGGGCCTATTGTCCATGTCACAACTGCTCAACTCTCCCACGGCGGAACAATCATAGATGATAGGTAAACAAACAAGTGTAGCTGTGTTCTGATAAATCTTTTCTTTTTAACTTGGGTTTTAATTATGTACATAAATAGCAACATGAGAACGAGGAGATCTAGGGCTGGTACGTTATCTCTAGGTGAAAGGGTTTCAGATTAGTTTGCTTGTAGGATGGTACCACCCAAGATAACAGAAGTCTGGTCTAGCTTTTCCTGAAGAAGAAAGACAATTTAATACATTCAATACTGACTTCTCTGCCATTTTTCTGTAGAAATACTGACTTATTCTATGGAGTTTCCAATGTTTACCTATAAATGATTAAGACGGGCAGAGCATGGAGTTTTCTACTTAGTTCCAGGTGAATTCTTCACATTTCCTGGCTTTTGAAAGTTCTCCTTCCACAAATCTTCGATGACGATGTGTCCATGTAAACCCCAGTCATATAATCTCTCCCCACTGAGCTGGGCAAACACGATGGCTTGTTGTGGGTAACAGAGGGAGGCAGCTAATCCCATTGAACCAGGCGGATACACTAGCTTCTTTATTTTTGAACCTCTAGCCAAAAAGAGTCCAATAAGGCCAGCAAAGCCAATAACACCAAGTCTCAGAAAAAATCCAGGAGGTGCATTTCGGAGATGGTTATAGCTGTCTAACCCACACTGAACCAAACTTTGCACCTCGGGCTTAGTTTCCTGAGAGCAGCTTGTGTATGGCTCGCAGCAGTGTTGGAGCTGTGAGATGCTTTCCTCAAGCGGCTTCTTGACCCCTCCACATACTTCGATTGACCCTCAGGAACTGAGTAGAGTGAAAGCTCATCAACCTGCATAGAATTTTTGGGAGGCGAGTCCTTTTTCGGTACAGCACAGACTTCGAAGGTGAGCAAGCTCAGGCTGGCTGGCCCCGCGGACCTCTGAATTACCTTGAACATGTCGCTGGCATCGGTGGCTCTGGCAGCTGATAAATCTTTATCTATAAAAACAGTGAGTGGGGCGATTTGGCCTCTGGGTTATAGTTTGCTGATCCCTGGTTTAGAGGATAGATATAATTTGAGGAACCCTAAGGAAAAGATAAGAGAAAGTAAATAACGAAGACACACAGAGGAGTGCCTATCAGAGAAGGTACAGATGTCTTCATTTCCCACGTGGACACTGTATTCCTCTTTTATACATTTAGCATATTGCAGAGGGCTTTCTATGTAGTATACTGGAGGACTAGTTGGAAGTCAGCAGGAAATCGGGCTCCAAATTCAGTTTTGCCACTAACTTCAATGCACCATTGAGCAAATTATCCTCTCTGAGCCAAGAAAGGCTGGTGCGATTATGGGATCTCCGAGGATCGTTCTTCTTTATCATAGCCTGATGCTGTAATTGTCTGATTAAGATTTCTAGGGAGAAATACAAAGTTAAAAATAAAATCATACAGGTTACAATTATGTAAACATCTGGCTTAGAGCCTCTTGATTCAACTCACATAACCAGACAGACCATGGGGGCCAAGAGGTCCAAGGACACGATGTAGAAGACATGGCTTAGATGCATGGAGTGAGAGGAGCGACCCAGACTCCCATGGGGTGGGGGCTGAGCTGGGAGGTCACTGTAATGAGGAAACTCCCCTTGGGTATACTTGGTATCATGAGTAAAGCTTCCTTGTGACTTCAGAAAACAATCATGGGAACACTTTATAAGAAGATCCCATACAGAAGAGTAGAGCCCCTTGGGGTGTGCATAGCTTCGGGGATTCATGGAGTTCCTCCCACCACTATACTCTCCAAACTGTGTAGAACCAAAGATGGTTAGCTCTTTCTCAGATGGTGGTGTTCAGGATAAATGGTTGATCTTTAGATTTTGGCTTTTGCGTGCTGTCTAAGAGGGCTCGTGGTACCCAAACCGTGCTTGCAGAGATAAGCTAGAGGGACTTTGTATCCCATCCCTGCTTCAGGCAGATCCCCCTTCCCACCTGTATGTGCTGGTGCTAAACAAATGCGAGCTAACCACTTCACTATAAATGGGAAAACTGAGTCACAGAAGGGGCCATAAGTGGACGTGGCTGTTGCAGAAAGTGAGAGGCGATTCTGGGAGGCATGAGAAGTTCATATTCGTCTTCTGGGGATGGGGCATGCCTAGGGGTAGAAGACATGTGTAGAAGGGAATACTCAGTCTCAGTCCCTCCCAGGGACTCTCTGGGTCTCTCAGCTTTGCAGGGAACATTCTCATAGTACTCCTCAGCAGAGTTTCCTGATGGCCTTCTACTGAGGACCTGATGATCGATGAGGGTGTAGCATAGCTCCTCTGAGTAGGTCTGGTCAGCAGTGTCCTGCTGGTCAAAGGAGAGGCATCATCAAGATTTGGCCTTTTGCCATGACCTTTCCCCTTCAGTCTCAACACAGGCTTGACCCTGCATCAAGCCTGTCTTCTATGACCACCTCCTCCCCATCTCTTGGCCATTTTTTTCTAAATGGCTGCTCCTACCCCAACCGCTAGACCAGGCAGCAAGAGTGCTTACAGTATAGGGCCTGCTCAGGTGCATCCTCTCTGCCCCTTGTTCCAGAGTGATCCCTAACCACCTGATACAGTTTGAATATTCGCTCCCTGCAAATCCAGTGTTGAAATTTGGTTACCAGTGTTGGAGGTGGTGCCTAGTGAGAGGTGTTTTTGTTATGGGAGCAGATGTCTCATGAATGACGTGGTGCCATCCTCGCAGTTAGGAGTGTACAGCCTGAAGAATCATGAGCCAAATAAACCTCTTTTCTTTATAAATTACTCAGCTTTGCATATTCCTTTATAGCAACATCAATGGACTAAACACTACCCATATAATTCCCAATCTGAGGGCTCTGAGGATAGCCCATTCTCATAAAAAAGAATAATCTGGCTGGGCACGGCTTACACCTGTAATCCCAGGACTTTGAGAGGCCGAGGTGGGTGGATCACCTGAGGTCAGGAGTTTGAGACCAGCTTGGTCAACATGGTGAAACCCCATCTCTACTGAAAGTACAAAAATTAGCTGGGCGTGGTGGCAGGTGCCTGTAATCCCAGCTACTCGGGAGGCTGAGGCTGGAGAATTGCCTGAACCCAGGAGACAGAGGTTGCAGTGAGCTGAGATTGTGCCATTGCACGCCAGTCTGGGTGAGTTATGATATTTAATTACCCTCTAGAGAGATTTGCTTTATTAAATAGGGAAAGAACTCCAGGGAAGGTTTATGATGCAATACCCTGAGATAAAAAGCAAAGCAGCAAAGTACAGGGGGAAGAGCACGGATTTTTAAGTGAAACTTACTTTTGAATCCTGGCTCCGCCCCCTTGTTAGCTATCTGGCTTTGCGGAATTATCACTATCACTCAGTTTTGTCATCTATAAAATGGGGGGATGAGACGCATAATAGTAGCAATCAATACTCAAGGGGTGTTGTGAGAGCTACATGAGTTGATGTGTGTAAAGCACTCAGCATGTTGTCTGCCATAAATGAAGTGGTCAGGAAATGTAAGTTCCTTTCAGTAAGTTATACAGCAAAGGTGACTGCTGCTCTGCCACCAGGCCCTGCATATGCCACCTGGGTTCACAAGCACTGACGTCTAAAGTCCTTCTCCATGCAAGCGTCAGAAAGGATCTCCGAGGCCAACTTCTTCTGCCATTTAGGGTGTCTGCACTTCTATCATCATCTCAAAAAATAGCTTAGCTTAGAGATGTTCTTATTACCTGGCTGGGAGTAGATGACATTCCTTTATCTGGAGAAAGAAAATACACTCAATGAATTTCAGGTTATGGGGAGATTTGAGAGGAGCAGGGGAGACTAGAATATAAATAACTAAAAGAAACATCTGGGATAGCTCTTCTCAGGCTATTCTGATCTACAGCACAAGAAACATCTGAGATAGCTCTTCTCAGGCTATTCTGATCTAAAGCACATCCCTGGGGAGTGACAGTGCAGGTAAACAAGTCACAGCCAGGGAGCTGTGCCTAGTCTGAGAGGCGAGAGGAGGGAGACACATTTGGTTAGTCTTTGGGTAGGAAATCAGTTTCTCCCTCCAGCTCTTTCCCTCCTTCCCTAGCCCCACTCCTTCCTTAAACAAAATGTATTTTCATTCCTTACACAAATTCAGTGCCTCTGCCTCAGGCACGGGGGAGGCAAAGAAGAATCAGAAACAGTCCCTGTCCTCAAGGGGCTCACAAGCTAGCACAGGATGCAGACCAGGGAGTGTGAGAGATCCATACTCTGAAGCAAGGGCCATTGTTTCTACTGTAGGTGATGGGATGCTGGTGGCGTGAAGGCTGGTGTCTGAGGAGTTCTGCAGAACAGGAAACTCTTAAGCTAAACATTCCTGTTCCTATACCCGCTGGCAGATAACAAATAAACTGGGCAACTTTTCAAAGCCTAGTTATAAGCAAATGGCTCCGGCCATTCAGCAAAAAGGCAAACTGACACCCTTGCTATTCTCTTGCAAAGACACCAGCTCCATAAGCAAACGTGCCCTCGTGTGAAAGTCTACAGAGGAGGCTACCATATAGCACACGGAGTGACATTGTCTTGGTCCTCTCATCCTGGATTTCCACATCCCCATAAGCTCCCATGGCCATCTAAAACTTCCCCGATTATCATTATAAGAGAAGCAACTTCAGCATAGAGTTTAAGCATCTGCTCTTATTTCTATCATGCTTTGTTCTGATGGAAATTGAGGTTCCCTGGGATCCACCGTTCCCAGAGTGAAGTGGCTAGGGTGGGAGGTCTGTATCATTCACGTACATATCTGCAGTGCTAGCTTTTAAGATTCTATGTAGATGAACTAGGTTCTCCTCTTTAAACTAAGGGAGGCAAAGTCAAAACTCCATTTTTCTTCTTCAGAAACACAATGGCCTGTCGTCAGGCTTACACTTTCTTGTTTTTATTTTTAGGTATGATACAATTCACCACAGTCTCCTTCTAGAATCGTTCTCTCTCCTTAACTTTAATGCTTTTCTATCACCAGAGACTGTTGCACCAGCCTCCTAAGTGATCTGGTATCTGCTCTTGCCACCCCCTGCTGCAATTTGTTCTCTGCATAGCAACCTAGGTGATATCTTTAACCCAAATCTAATCATACTCGCTCCTTGGGCAAGCCAGTATCTCCTAGAGCTCTCAAGACAGAGATGAAAAGCCTTAACTTGGCCAGGAGACCCCACCCCTTCCCTGTCCCAGGGTGGCTTCCTCGCACTTTTCCGTAAGTGCCTTTCTCCTCCATCCTTTGTATCCCTGCCCCCAGTTACTGCCTTTATCCTCCAGGCCTCAGGCACTAACCGAGGAATATGGAGATTAATGAGCCAATTCCATCTAGTGAGGAAAAAAACACAAGCCATTGGATACATTGCAGCAAAATGTGTAGATGTTATAATTGAAATATGCCCAAGGGTCTTTGGGAGCCTGGAGAAGAAGCAGTTTGGAAAGGTAAGTCTTATCAGGAGTGAAAATGGTAGGAAATCAACAACTTACTTTCGTTTTGGGAATCTTGCCTCTTTTCAAAAGTGTGTATTTTTTTCCTGTAAAAGCAAAGCAAATTGTTTTAATATTCAGAAACTCTCAAAGGAGTTTCTAAAAACTTATTTTAACTCTTTGTTAAAGTTATATGCCTTTTTAAATACCTCCTTCAGCACACGTGAGTTAATTAAAAAAGAAAAAAGTAAAAGATGAGGCCAACTAGAAATATATTCCTTTGTGCCTCTCTCTCTCTCTCTCTCTCTCTCTCTCTCTCTCTCTCTCTCTCTCTCTCTCTCTCTCTCTCTGTCTCTCTCTCTTTCTCTCCTCCCCCCGCACCCCGCCTGCCCCTCTCTTTTCTAAATCTGATAGGGAATTGATTTATAGATGGGGAAATATGATGTTATCATAGATTACATTTCTGGAAACTTTTTTTTTCTAACAAAGTACTGATTTCTTTTATATCATGTGCATGAAGGATCCAGGGTTATTTTCAATCTCAATTCTAATCTGTGATCTCCAAAACAAACAAACAAACAAACACACTCTTCCCATAAGACGACAGTGTATTAAAGACCCCCTGAAAAAAGTGCAATATAAATATAATGGAAAACCACCATCATTTCAGTAGACGGGGACATCTGCTGGGTAGGTGACCATATGCCCTGGTTTGCCTCAGCCTGGTTAAGGTCATTGTCAATCACTTAGCAAGCTTTAACTATTTCTAACATCCCTTTCACTCTCAAATGTATCTTAGTTTGGATGATAAATTATATGATCACCCCGACTATACATTCTATGTGCAAGGGATAGAAATGGGTGCTTTGGGACATGCTGACTCAGATTTGCAGCGTGAAAAACAGGCGTCTTTTTTCTATGTTAGTAGCTAGTTTCATCTTTGCTTCTGAGGCTTTCCTGTTTGAGGAGAGCCTACCACCCATGAGCCTGTTGTTCCTGTTTCTCGTCAAATTGGAAGGATTGCTTCCCTGATTGACTCTCAGGTGATTTCATCTGGGCTAGTGACAGGATTCCGCTGTGGCCACAGACAGCAGGGAGTTCACAAGTAACTTACAGAAAATACCACGCTGAAACCACACTTAGGGAAATAACTCCTAAAAACAACTGTCCACTCACCATGGAAGGCAGAAACGCCCTTCAGCGCTGTGGTGATCCCAGCATCTAAAATACCCAAGAGAGACGGCGAATCGTAAGATTGATTTCTGCAACTTTGTTAAGGTGACTCCTTTCATGTTGCAGTTTCTGTGGGAAACCTTTACTCTCCGCAAGCCTGTTTCATCGCAGGTAACTTGGACACAGCTTTCTCGGTGGTGCCTTTGTCCTCCTCGGATGAAGATGGTTCTATCAAATTCCTGATCGGGAAAAGAGCTTTCTGCCGTGTTCCCAGCAAAGGGAAAACGTTCTCTCACCCTCAGTTCTGGCAATTGACTTGGTTCCCTTGTAATAAAGAACACATAAGCTTTATCTCCAGGAAATCAAGATACAAATGTGGAAATGTTAGAAATCACTTTTTTCAGGCATGGGTTAGGTAATATCTATACAGCATTTTACTGTACTCTGAGTTTCTCCAATTTACAGTATATCGCAGTCATTTGCTCACTTGTCTATATTCTACACTAGAATGTGAGCTTCACGAAGCTGGGACCATATTGACTTTGTTCAACATGGTATGTGTTGTCAGTGATGTCTGGCACACATTACGTGAGTTTTATATATATACATATATATATATATTTTTTTTTTTTTTGAGACGGAGTTTCGTTCTTGTTACCCAAGCTGGAGGCAATGGCGTGATCTCGGCTCACCACAACCTCCTCGCAGCCTCCCGAGTAGCTGGGATTACAGGCACGTGCCACCATGGCCAGCTAATTTCTTGTATTTTTAGTAGAGACGGGGTTTCACCATGTTGACCAGGATGGTCTCGATTTCTTGACCTCGTGATCCACCCGCCTCGGCTTCCCAAAGTGCTACGATTACAGGCGTGAGCCACCGCACCTGGCTTCAATAAATATTTGATGAAGATATGGATACAGAATGAATAGCCGATGACAGAGCAACCCTGATGAAGGAGATCAGCAAGTCAACCACCTTGAGTTCAATGATATAGTTAAATAACAGGACTTCTCTCTCTCATAGCACAAAGGCTTAGAATCTCCCTGCAGTCAGACATCTATCTAGGTTAATGTGTAAGTATCATTCTGTACATCTTTCTCAATCTGAGGCATAGTCAACTACCTACATGGTGGAATGTGAAAGCCCTTTATAAAGTTGTACATGTATCAGTTACAGTATGTCAAAACCTTTGGAAAACACCATCCAAAAATGGCCCCCAGTGAGCCTTCCCACGGCATCAGGAGGAGCAGTGGAGGAGAGGCTGACTGCATCATGACCTTGGCTGTGGCCGCCTGCTTGACTGAGCATTCTGACAGCCTCTAAGATCTATGTGTCATCATCAAAGCCTTTGGATTCCAGAGGCACAGCTACAGCTCTTCCTCGTCTCTAGGTTACCCTCAATGTGCTCCAAGCCATTTGCTTCCATCTCTGCTTTATTGCTAAGGAAACATCATAAGAAAACTATGGAATCACACCAAAGCTAAGAAATCAGGTCCGCTGAGGAAAATGAGTGAGATGAGAAGAGGGGGATGATTTGGAGAGATAGTCTCTGAACTCCTGAGGCCTCAGCTTTTATTTTTTATTTTATTTTTTTTATTATTTTTTTATTTTTTTGAGACGGAGTTTTGCTCTTGTTACCCAGGCTGGAGTGCAATGGCGCGATCTCGGCTCACCACAACCTCCGCCTCCTGGGTTCAGGCAATTCTCCTGCCTCAGTCTCCCGAGTAGCTGGGATCACAGGCACGCGCCACCATGCCCAGCTAATTTTTTGTATTTTTAGTAGAGTTGGGGTTTCACCATTTCGACCAGGATGGTGTCGATCTCTTGACCTTGTGATCAACACGCCTCGGCCTCCCAAAGCGCGGGGATTATAGGCGTGAGCCACCGCGGCCGGCCGAGTTTTTAAACCTATAAAAGAGGATATATATATATATATAATATACTGCTTACCCGTGGAGTTATAAGAATAAGATGAGGTTAAATATGAGCAAAAACTATTTGTAAACTGGCTGTTATTCTACCCGACTTTTCTGCCATTTATACTTGGATTTCAACGTGGTTGTTTTGGTGTGGAGCGGGTCCAGACAGCCTCCATGAAGTAAACCAGACAAACCTCTATGACCTTGGGCTACATGGCAGCAACGTGAGGTATCTGTCTCTTTCACAAAGCCTTCGCTGGCTCTCCGGTCTACCCAATCTCTCCCTTGTTATAATGCCATGGCCCTTCTGACTTATCATCTGAACTGTATGCTTTAACATGTGCCCCATGATACCCCCCAAAATATATAATTCTCAACTTGCCCTGAAAAAATGCACCCTGTTGGGTGGAATCTCTGGGTCTGCAGCCCCTAACACGGGCGTTGGTGTTAAAAAATATCAACAGTGTTTGCGTTTTTAACTGCTCCTCTTTCAAAACCTCCTCCTGAAACTGTGTGAAAAGCACAGTAACTTTACAGGCCACAGAACAACTGACCTTGTCACCCCTTGGGATTCTTGGACCCTGGAACATTGGTTCCTGTTAGAGACAAGCTGCCTCTGAAAACCCCCTGGGGCAGGCTGACTGCTCCCCCCTCCCCACCCCACCCCCGTGCTCTGCAGCAGCTGCATTCCTGAACCCCCACCTAGGCGCCACAGCAAGACTGCCAAACACCCTACAATGAAGCAAAGCCTGATTCCGGACTTCCTGGCAGCTTGAGGGAGGGCAGGGAAGACATATGTTAGTTATCCATACTTATAAATTTCTGTTTGACACATATCTGTAAAAAATCCTGGTTTCTCTTTTTTTTAAAAAAAACCTGCCACCACAAAAGTCACAGGGTGATGTATTATAGTTCTGTTACAAGTTAACAAACTATCTCTGTGCTTGTTACCAGCAGGTAGATTGCCTCAGTCCTGAAACTCCCTCGCACCCCCATATAACACCACAAACTCCTTAGGAGCTCCTGTCTCGTAAGCTCGGAGCTGCCTACTCTGATTGTTAGAAAGCAGCGCAGCAGGTTAATGAAACTCTTGCTTGCCTGACTCTGGGTCTATTTTGTCTTTCTCTTGGCCAAACTTACAGTTCCACACTTTAATTATTCCTTTCCTTAGAGAGAAGTCTTTAGGGCTGGGCATTTGAAAGTTCTGTTCAAAAAGAATTAATGAGGTGGTCTTTGTTTAGCAACAGCAAGGCGATCACAATGGTCTCCATCCCCTAACTTTCTAAAAATTACCCACAATGGTCTCCCCCCTAACTTTCTAAAAATTACCCACAATGGTCTCCCCCCTAACTTTCTAAAAATTACCCACAATGGTCTCCCTCCCCTAACTTTCTAAAAATTACCCACAATGGTCTCTCTCCCCTAACTTTCTAAAAATTACCCACAATGGTCTCCCCCCTAACTTTCTAAAAATTACCCACAATGGTCTCCCCCCTAACTTTCTAAAAATTATCCACAATGGTCTCTCCCCTAACTTTCTAAAAATTACCCACAATGGTCTCCCCCCTAACTTTCTAAAAATTATCCACAATGGTCTCTCCCCTAACTTTCTGAAAATTATCCACAATGGTCTCCCCCTAACTTTCTAAAAATTATCCACAATGGTCTCTCCCCTAACTTTCTAAAACTTATCGTAACATGGGGGAGGTGTCACCTCAGAAATAGATGCTTAACCTAGCTTAAAAAATAGCTAGGGTGGAGGTTGAAATAGCTAGGGTGGAGGTTGAAATAGCTAGGGTGGAGGTTGAAATAGCTAGGGTGGAGGTTGAAATAGCTAGGGTGGAGGTTGAGCAGGGTGGAGGTACCTGAGATAGACACAGAAAAGGACAACAGGGAACGAGACCCCTTATTTTATAACGGGGCGTAACAGGGACTAACAGGGTCTTAGTTCCTGTTGCTAGGAGTTACATTAGCTTCCAGCAAAGTAGCACATCTTCTTAACGTTTTTCAAACGTTTTTTTTTTTTTTTTTTGTCCTGTCTTCACATTTGCTGCTATTGCAACTGATGCTGGTCTGAACTGGGCCCTCTCTCCCTGGGATGTGAAGTTCAGGACTGAACACTCTTCATTCTCCCTGGGAAAGGCCGGGAGGAGTCTGGCTGACTTTGCCCTCAGCTGGATGTTCTCTGTTTGGGGCTTTGCATTCTCAGATTCCAAGGCACCTCTTGAGTGTTCTGTTGCCACCTGAAATTGAACATATCAGAAACAGGCTAAGTATTTCCTAACCAGGCCTGCCGCTTCTTTTCATAATTTTTGCAAATTTCCTCTTTTCTGCTAATTGTGTGTAACTCTGAAATTGCCCGGTTGCCCTCACACATGTTAATCCTCCTTCCTCAAGCACATGCCACAGGCTACCTTTGTGCTGACATGCTCCCCATGGCCACAGCAACAGCCCACTGATGTCCTCCAGCCGCCATGAACAAGTGATCCTAAGTCTGTTTTCAAATATTCGGGGATCCTTATCACGATCTCTTCGGTCCTCAGCTATCACGATCTCTTCTTCGGTCCTCAGCTATCACGATCTCTTCGGTCCTCAGCTATCACGATCTCTTCGGTGCAGTTCCTTGAGCTGAATGCAAGTACTGGGGAAGGGTACGGGCTTTGTCTTGTGTAGTCCGGTACTGGATAAGGGTGCTGGCTTTGTCTTGTGTGGTCCGGTACTGAGGAAGGGTGCTGGCTTTGTCTTGTGTAGACCGGTACTGGGGAAGGGTACGGGCTTTGTCTTGTGTAGACCGGTACTGGGGAAGGGTACAGGCTTTGTCTTGTGTAGTCCGGTACTGGATAAGGGTGCTGGCTTTGTCTTGTGTAGTCCGGTACTGGGGAAGGGTACAGGCTTTGTCTTGTGTAGTCCGGTACTGGGGAAGGGTGCTGGCTTTGTCTTGTGTAGACCGGTACTGGGGAAGGGTACGGGCTTTGTCTTGTGTAGACCGCAGCACATTTCACAGAAAGCATGGAGGCAGAGAACAACGGATAGAAGGTGGAGACCAGGATTGAATAAAGAAAATAAACTGGCTCACTGTTTGGCATAGATTTCTGCATACCCATCTTTCCATCTGTTGGGGTTTGGGGGTTTGAGGTTTAAAGAAACTAACACTTAAACATTACTTACTATATGCCAGTCATTTTATGTGTTAGATTTCATTTAATCCCAGAATAAATCCATATGGTACACATTATCATTTTATTTTTTTATACCGATGAGGGAAGTGAGACCCAAAATGCTAGGCAACAGGTCTGAGAACCCACAACCACTAAGGGGGAAAAGCTGGGTTTGCAGCTGGCAGGTCGCTTCCTCTGAGACTGAGCTCCTCTCATGAAGTAATGAGTGTCATTCTATCCTGTGGAAAATTTCCCCAGCTTCTTAGCTTATTTGGTCTGGAGAGACATGATGGGGGGCGGTGCGCTGATTGGATGATAACTGGGTGTTAGGGTGACATTGAAAATTAGATACCAGTATACGTAAGACTTTTGAATATGTTAAGGGAAACATTTTATTTAATTATTTTAATTAATATATCTTTAAGACTGGGTCTCATTTTGTGGCTCAGGCTGGCCTCAAACTCCTGGGTTCAAGCAGTCCTCCTGTCTCAGCCTCCTGAGTAGCTGGGACTGCGGGTGCATGCCATTGCACTTGGTTCAAGGGAGACTTTTTAAATCTTCATAGAAATAAAGATGTTGGGCAAACTGATCAACTACTTTGAAAAAAATTTATATCTGACACCATATATTGAATATATATTGCCAAATGTAAGATAATAAAATCAAAACTTACATGGGTGAATTTGTCTCATCTTAGGATGAGCAAAGAATTTTAAGCATAAATACAATGGCAGAAACCAATAAAGCTTTGTAGATTTAAAATTCAATTTTCTTTAAAATATAATAAACACAGGCCGGGCGCGGTGGCTCAAGCCTGTAATCACAGCACTTTGGGAGGCCGAGGCTGGTGAATCACGAGGTCAAGAGATCGAGTCCATCCTGGTCAACATGGTGAAAGCCCGTCTCTACTAAAAATACAAAATTTAGCTGGGCATGGTGGTGCGTGCCTGTAATCCCAGCTACTCAGGAGGCTGAGGCAGGAGAATTGCCTGAACCCAGGAGGCGGAGGTTGCGGTGAGCCGAGATCGCGTCATTGCACTCCAGCCTGGGTAACAAGAGCGAAACCACGTCTCAAAAAAAAAAAAAAAGAATTTCTGTATTTTCCAATTTTGTTATCACGAACACATAGTAAGGTAATAATTTTTACCCCTACACTCAAGTTCTAAAGAACAAATTCCACGTGTGACTTCAACCAGCGCTTTCCAACTGACATCATTTCTGTATTTTATTTACTTTTTCAGGACAATAATTTCATTATGTTTCTAGTCAATGATCTACCACTTATTAAGTGCCTGTGATGTGCCAGAAACAATTCCAGGAACCAGGAATTCAAAAATAAATAAGAAATAATCACTGCATTTGAGCAGCTCATATGTAGTAATAAAAGTAGCAATTTGTATAATTGTTAGAACAATGCTAGAGTAGAAGATTGACAATGGACGGTGAGGTCCCAGGGTAGAGAAGTCTCAGATGACATGATTCTTGGGAAGGGAACTGAGATATTCCATAGGCCACCAACCCTCTCTTAGGCAGGTAGTCAAAAGTGGGCTGCCAACTTCTGCCTGTGTTCCCCTCTGCAGTGGCATGAACTGAGACCTGGGCTTCCAAACATAACCCTGTGCAAACCCCCCACTGGCTGGCTTACTCTCCAGACTGCTCCCTTTTATATCCTAGAGATTACCTTGTCTTTGGTGGCACTAGCTTTTTTTTTTACAATGGTTGGTTTGATATTAAGGAAGATGATGGTCAAACAAAGAAAACAGAAAATATCTTCTAATTTTGAACCCTACTTTGTGTCAGGCACTATGCTAGCACCATACACACCAGAACCTTCTAAGGTAGATGCTATATTATTATTTCTACTTAAAGAAGCTGAGGTCCAGAAACGTAAGTCTAAGTTCTCTATTTAATTTAGATGACCTCAGTTTACCTGCTTGCAGGGAGTGCACAGCAAAGGAAGTCTCAAGGTGGCAGAAAGCTTGCTACTTATTTCACACTTAAAATAGTGGCTGAAAGGTGGTGGTGATTTTGACCTCCTTATGGAACATTAAGAGCTCAGGAGAGCATCTCCTTCCCAGGCCTTCAGAAAGCTGTTTTATTTCTTAGACGGTAACCTATTATACAAACCGTCCTTGGTAAAGTCTTTCTACCTTTCAGCTATTCTCCACCAACTTCTCACTATGATTCTTGGGAGAGGGCAAAACCTATGAGAAACTTAACGCGGCATCTGGCACAGAACAGGCACCGAAGGCTTGGCAGTTTCCTTACCCAAATACTTTCTACCCCGACTTAGTGTGCTAGCTGTCTACTAACTTTCTTTTTCTCTTCCTTGCTGCATTGGCCTGTCCCATCTCCTCTGCTCTCCCGTAGGGAGTCTAGACTTACCTGTTTTCTCTCAGCAGACAGTTTCCCATTCTCTCAGTCCTCTCGGGGCCTTCCCCTCTGTCCCTTTATCACTTCCTTCTTGCCTTGTGCTCTGATAGGGCAACTCCTGACTTATAGAAAGGGCTGTGTGGCTCTGGCCACCCGTGCAGACACAGCAGAAAGGAGAAGGGTGTCTCTGCAGAGGGGAGGAAGAGGCCGGGGGAGGAGTGTTAGAGGCACACATGTGCAGAATGTCCTAACACGTCAGCGCCTGAACGAACCTGGCTGTGGGCCACAACCAGCAACTACCCGTCAATGAGAGCTTCAAACTTCCGGGGAATTTCAGGTCTGAAATTACAGATGGGCCATGGGAGTTTTTCCACTGCAGATATTTACATTTATTAAATCATGTTGTCTTCTTAGAAAAGTCAGGAGGTTAAAACAAAAAGTCAAGCCACAGACCTATAGAAAATATGGCATCAACAACTCTCAAATCTGAAAAGAAACATCTGATAACAAAATGGTCAAAACATTTGAACAGACATTTCACCAAAGGAATTATGCAGATGAATATCAAAAGATGCTAAACATCCTAGTCATTAGGGAAATGTAAATCCACAATGGAACACTTTCACACAGTTACTACAATGGCCGTAAAACCCTGACAGTATCAAGTCCTGACAAGGTATACAGAGCAACTGGAAGTCTCACGCATTGCTGATGAGAATGCAAAATGACAGCCTTTTTGGAAAGAAGTGATAAGGACACAAGGCAGGGAAATATTGGGCAGAAGAGGGTGGCTCCCCGGCAAAGGTCCCACCCTCAAGCCTTGAGACCAAAGCCCTAAATGAGAATAGTTATCCCTGTTTTCCTGCCTAAATATTACTTTTTAGCCTGTATAGCACCCTATCTTGTGCCCATATAAACCCCAGACCTCAGGTGGCAGAGAGACAATTGGATGAACATGGAGAGGAGAAGAAGCAACTGAGCGTCAGACATGTGGTTAAACTTCAGAATGGCATGATTTTGGAGAGGAGCCTGGCCAGAGACAGTGAGGAGGGAAAGATCACCCTCTTTCTGCAAGGTGATCCCCTTTCCCGCTCCCCTTCCGCTGAGAGCCACTTCCACCATTTTAATAAAATCCTCCGTGTTCATTACCTTTCAAACAGTTCATGCAACCTGACTTTTCCTGGACACTGAACAAGAACCTGGGTACCAAGAGGACAGCGTGTAAAAGCCTGTCACCGTGACTTTCTACTAAGTGGGTTAACACCTACCTGTCCATGGATGGCAACTGCTAAAAGAGCAATAATTGTAACACATCCCTAGGCACTGCCATTGGGGTGGAGCCCAAGAGCGCTCACCCCAGCCCTGGCACCTACTGGCCTGTGTGCTCCCACTCCCACAAGGAGTTTGAGCAAAGTGGTGGCTAAGTACGCAGGCCACATCCCTGTTGCAAGTCCCAGGAAGGGGTCAAGGGAACTCACATCTCAGAAGGATGGCAATTTCTTATGAAATTGAACATAGACTTACAGTACAACCTAGCAATTCCACTCCGAGGCATTTAGCCAAGTGAAACTTATGTCCTCTAAGAATGTGTATACAGATTTTTTTATGTGCTTTACCCATAATAGCCAAAAAACCATGGAAAGAGCCCAACTGATCTTCATTGAGTGACTGGCTAAACAAACTCTGTGTTACATCCGCACAACAGAGTCCTGCCTGCCCATCACTGAAAAAAAGTGGACTATTAATACACGTAAGAACTTGTATCAGTCTCAAATGCACTATGCTGAGTGAAAGAGACCAGAGTAAAGCCCACCTTCTGTGACAGTCAGGATTAGGTGAAACCATAGGAACAGAAAACATATCAGTGTTGCCAGGAGCAAAAAGTGGGGGAGGTGTTGACTTTCAAAAGACAGGAGAGAATTTTTTGTTGTTCTTTATCTTGATTGCGTTGGTGGCCACATGACTGTGCATTTCTCATAATTCATAAGAACTGTATACTAATAAGGGCATATTTCACTCTACATAAATGAATCTCAATTGAAAAAAAGGTTAAAAGAAAGGAATGTGTGGGCAGGAATCATGGATTTCTTGTATTATCCTTGTATTTGATGGCTGTGCTTAGTTTGGTCACTCGTCTGTTTATTCCTTTAACGAGTATGTGTTGAGTGCCTACTATGTTCCGGGCACTGTGGGTTCAGTGGTAAGAAAAGCAGATACAGACTGCGCTTGTGAAGTTCCTCGAAAGAAATAAAACGAAGTGCAGAATATTTCATTGCTTGTCCTTGAGTGATATGAAGGTCACATCTAAAACACGCAGGAGAAGGACGGGGAGTGGGCTTAGAAGAAACATTTTAGGGAAACTGTGGACCTAGCTGTGAAACCCCAGATTCACCCACATCGTTCTTTTCCTTATAGCTACTCTCCAGACTTCCTTTGGCTCTGTGAGTGATTTCCAGGACATCTTATCAGAAATGGAAGAAAGGCAGACCATCCCTGCCTAGGAACTGTATTCTGGAACACAGAATACTTTTGTAAAAAGAGTATCAAATGATTGTATTACCAAAGATAAGCCATTATTGACCATTCACTTTTCTTAAAAAAAAACACAAATGTGAGAATCAAACACACCCAAGACTCCCTATCCCCTGCAGGGTAGAAATCAGCCCTGGAAAGAGAGCCTGCTTATACTTAATATCTGAATTTCTCACACATTTTAGGCTTTCATGTTTTGTTACCTCTGGCAAAGGAAAGGAAACTGGCTAGAAGATTCACCTACGAGAAGGTCACAGCCTTGAAGCTCTCCGATGCTGATGACTTGTACAATCTAGTTTGCAGCTCTGAGATAAAATGTCAAATAGGCTCTGTCAAACGCTACTCCCGCCTAACCTTTGCTGTCGTTGTTCTTTGAAATGATCTTTGGGATTGATTATGTTCTCTCAGGGCGGGGCGCGGTGGCTCACGCCTGTAATCCCAGCACTTTGGGAGGCCGAGGCGGGTGGATCACGCGGTCAAGAGATCGAGACCATCCTGGTCAACATGGTGAAACCCCGTCTCTACTAAAAATACAAAAAATTAGCTGGGCATGGTGGCGTGTGCCTGTAATCCCAGCTACTCAGGAGGCTGAGGCAGGAGAATTGCCTGAACCCAGGAGGCGGAGGTTGCGGTGAGCCGAGATCGCGCCATTGCACTCCAGCCTGGGTAACAAGAGCGAAACTCCGTCTCAAAAATAAAAATAAAAAAGAATATTCATTCAGAAATAAAAGTGTTTTTTTTTCTCTTTTATTTTTGTGGAGACGTTTTATGAAACAGCAGGAGATTTTGCTTTTATTTCTATTTCCCCAAAAGCAGTAGCTCCATTAATTTTTTCATTAACCCCTCAGATAATTGACTCTAGAAAGGATGTTATGGTAGCAGATTTTCTTATTTTGCAATATTTGAAATTCAGGAAAACTCTCCCATCAGCAAATTAAATGAAGCCTTGAAATAAAAAAGAACATTCTTAAACAAAGGTTATATTAAAAATTAGAATTTCACTGCATGTAGATCTAAGAAACCTAGAGCTACCCTAGTCTGTTTCTCCCGTTCTCCTCTTTCAAAACCATTCCCCCTCCAAGGCTGGATAATTGCAATAAATAATAGAGTATGTGTTCCAAGTTATGTATGGAAATACATATGTATTCTTCCTTATGTATGGAAAATCTGGGATGGCAAGCAGTGGTCTACCATTTTGTGTGTGAAAAAACAGGTATGTTATGTGTGAGAGTCTGAAGGAATGTTGATATACTAACCTTTCTCTTCCCTATTACCTTCAGAAAAAAAGAAAAACAATCAATCTAACCTAAAAGTGTCCCCTCCTCAGAGGCCTCAGCACCTTTGGCACTACCTAGAGGCTAGTAACAGGGGACCAGAATGTGTCAGCATTGTGAGGGAGAGGCAACGTGGACAGGGTGGCTTAATTAGTTCCAGTGTTGCCGAAAGCAGTCTTTGAGTCCAGAGAATCACGGTAGGGTGAGCTGGAAATCAATCTGTCCATTGTAATTTAGGGAAAGCTTAAAGCTTCTGTTTTACTCAGGCCACTAGATGGAAAAGCTGAGCTGTGGGTGAGTTGGCGATCAATCACTTGTGTAAAGTAGCATGTAAAATATCTCTATGATATTTATAACATACAGATTTACTGCTGTGAAACTGCGTCTGGACTATAAATAATATATCTCTTCTCCATAAATGAGTAGAGCAACACACACACACACACACACACACACATACATACACACACATACACACTCATACACACACACATACACACACATACACACACACATACACACACACATACACACACATACACACACACACATACACACACACACATAGACACACATACACACACACACATACACACACACATACACACACACACACACACAAGCCCATATAACAAATCCTTTATTCTTCTCAGTGTTTGCCCCAGTGCCCAACACATGTAAGAAACTATTTCTAACACATGTCAGAAAGTGTACGTGTTGAATTGGAAATAAAAGCCTAGATACTTGTAAGCAGATGAGAGTGAAATCGGAGAACATTTGGGTTGAGATTTTTACATTGACTTTCCCATCCGTTGGCATTGCTCATAGGTCTCTGATCTTCAAAACTGTAAGTAAAATTACAATCAGTATTTGTTGAGACCTTCCTAACAATCCAGGAACTCTGTTAAATGCTTTAGATACAATTTCTAATTTCTTCATGTCAAAATTCTGTGGAATAAATACGATTTCCTCTTTGTGGTAGATGAGAACACCAGGCTCAAGGAAATCCCCATAGGAAGTGACAAAGCTGGGATGTAAGTTCAAGCAGGGCATGGACCTTATCGACGTGTTGTCCTATTTAATAAGTACCTGTTGAAAGACAAGCTTGACTTGGAAACCTGGCCCACATCCCTCCAGTGTGTCAACAAGGAGCAGTATATCTGCATGTTTAGAGCGTGTCACGGCTTCCCAGTTCTTACGCGGCTTTCACACTCTGGACTGGCCTCAGCTGACAAGGCATGTCAGAGACTTTGAGGATAAGAGTGAATAATAAGAGTGATTCTAAGATAGTCCTTCAGTTTCAAAGGCCTAGATGGGAAAATCCTAGCTCAGTCACTTTCTGACAATGGGAAATGAGGAAAGGGAATTAGGAGAACTATTT